TATACTGCAAAGAAGGGGCCAATGTGGCACAGGCAAAGAATTTCTGGAAAAGACCCGGGAGGCACAGACAGTCAAAGCCAAAATCAACTATTGGGATTGCATCAAATTGAGAAGTTTCTGTACTGCAAAAGAAACAGTCAGGAGAGTGAAGAGACAACCAACAGAATGGGAAAAAATATTTGCAAACTATGCAACAGATAAAGGGTTAATAACCAGAATCTACAAAGAGATCAAGAAACTCCACAAAAACAAAACCAACAACCCACTTAAGAGATGGGCCAAGGACTTCAATAGACATTTTTCAAAAGAGGAAATCCAAATGGCCAACAGGCACATGAAAAAATGTTCAAGGTCACTAGCAATCAGGGAAATGCAAATCAAAAGCACAATGAGGTTTCACCTCACCCCGGTTAGAATGGCTCACATACAGAAATCTACCAACAACAGATGCTGGCGAGGATGTGGGGAAAAAGGGACACTAACCCACTGTTGGTGGGAATGCAAACTGGTCAAGCCACTATGGAAATCAGTCTGGAGATTCCTCAGAAACCTGAATATAACCCTACCGTTCGACCCAGCCATCCCACTCCTTGGAATTTACCCAAAGGAATTTAAATTGATAAAGAAAAAAGCGGTCTGCACCCTAATGTTTATTGCAGCACAATTCACAATAGCCAAGACCTGGAACCAACCTAAATGCCCATCAATGGTAGACTGGATAAAGAAATTATGGGATATGTATTCTTTAGAATACTATACCGCAGTAAGAAACAACAAAATCCAGTCATTTGCAACAAAATGGAGGAATCTGGAACACATCATGCTGAGTGAAGTAAGCCAGTCCCAAAGGGACAAATACCATATGTTCTCCCTGATCGGTGACCACTGACTGAACACCAAAAAGGAAACCTCCTGAAGTGAAATGGACACTATGAGAAATGGTGACTTGATCAGCATAGCCCTGACTGCTAATGGACAACTTAATACATTATCCCTCATAGTATTTTTTTTCGTCTGTTCTACTTAATATGACTGGTTTAATTCTGTAATTATCACACAGTTATTCTTAAGTGTTGAAAATTAACTGAAATGTGATCCCTGTTAAACATAAAAGTGGGAATAAGAGAGGGAAGAGATGTATAATTTGGGGCATGCTCGGGCTGACTTGCCCCAATTGGTAGAGTTGGAAACATACCAGGGGATTCCAATTCAATCCCATCAAGGTGGCATGTGCCAATGCCATCTCACTATTCAAGTGATCAATTTCAGTTCACAATTGATCATAATGAAAGGACTAAGAGTCAAAGGGAGCACATAAACAAGTCTAGTATCTGCTAACACTAACCGATAGAATAAATAAAGGGGAGAGTGATCCAACATGGGAAGTGAGATACTCAGCAGACTCATAGAATGGCGGATGTCCTAAATAGCACTCTGGCCTCAGAATCAGTCCTAAAGGCACTCGGATCTGGCTGAAAAGCCCATGAGAGTATTTCAGGCATGGAAAGCCAAGACACTCTGGCAAAAAGATCTCTGTGAGTGAGATCCCAGTGGAAAGAACAGGTCTTCAAAGAGGGAGGTGCCTTTCTCTGAAGGGAGGAGAGAACCTCCACTTTGACTATGACCTTGTCTAAACAAGATAAGAGTCGGAGAACTCAAGGGGCTTCCATAGCCTTGGAAACTCATGACTGGTGCATAGGGAGATTACTGATGCCATAAACAGGAGTGTCAATTTGTAAAGTCAACAACAGGAGTCACTGTGCACTTACTCCTCATGTAGGATCTCTGTCCTTAATGTGCTGTACATTGAGGCTTAATGCTATAACGAGTACTCAAACAGTATATTTCACTTTGTGTTTCTATGGGGGTGCAAACTGTTGAAATCTTTACTTAACGTACACTAAACTGATCTTCTGTAAAAAAAAAAAAAAAGAAATTATCAATTCCCAACTTGACTCTCACTGGGATTAAACATGACAATAGGTCTGATCTGATTTCATCATCATTTAAAAAAAAATCATCTATTATTTTTCACTTTATGTTTCTGTGTGGGAACAAACTGTTGAAATCCCTTACTTAAGGTATACTAAGCTGATCTTCTGTATATTAAGATAATCGAAAATGAATCTTGATGTGAATGGAAGGGGAGAGGGAGTGGGAAAGGGGAGGGTTGTGGGTGGGAGGGACGGAATGGGGGGAAAGCCATTGTAACCCATGAGTCGTACTTTGGAAATTTATATTCATTAAATAAAAGATAAAAAAAAAAAAAAGAAGGGGCCAATGTGGTGCAGCAAGTAAAGCCGAGGCCTGAGATGCTGGTATCCCATATGGCCATCGGTTTCTGTCCAGATTGCTATATTTCTATCCAGCTCTCTACTAATGGCCTGGGAAAAGCAGTGGAAGATGGCCCAAGTGCTTGGGCCCTTGCAACCCATGTAGAAGACCTGGATTAATCTCCTGGCTTTAGCATGGCTCAGCCCTGGCCACTGCAGCCATTTGGAAAGTAAACCACAGGAGGGAAGACGGTTACCTATCAAATGAAGGCACACAGTCAACAAGTCTATGAAAAAAGGTTCAATGTCACTGAACATCAGGGAATTGTATATCAAAACTACAGTGAGGGGTGGACATTTGGCACAATGGTTAAGAAGCCACTTGGGAGGCCCGCATCCCATACTGGGGTGCCTAGGTTCAAGTTCCAGCTCTGGTTCCTGACTTAGAGTCCTGCTGATACACACCTGAAAGGCAGTCAGTGATGGCTCAGTAGCTGAGCCCCTGCCATCCATATGTGACACCTGGACTGAGTTTCTGGCTCATGACTTCAACAAAGCCAGCCCACGCTGTTGGAGGCACTTGAAGTGTGAACTAGCAGATGAAAGACCTCCCTTCATCTCTCTACCTTCCAAATAAACCATTAAAAATAAAAATAATACAAGACTGAGATATCACCTAATTCCAGGTAGAATGCCTATTATAAAAATACCAAAAAAAAAAAAAAAAAAAAATGCTGCCAAGCCAACAGAGAAAGAACTCTCATACACTGTTGGTGGGAAGGCCAATCAGTACAGCCATTATGGAAGAAAATGTGTAGGTTTCTCAGAAAACTAAAAATAGAACTACCATATGATCCATCAACCCCACTACCAGACATGTATCTAAAAGAACTGAAATCAGTATACTCAAGAGACATCGGCACTCATACATTTACTGCATCACTAATCAAAATAACCAAGATACAGAAACAATTTAGGCATTCATTCATTAGCTGAATAAAGTCAGGTACAGAAAAACAAATACTAGTGTAAGCATTTGGCACAGTGGTTTGGACGCCAACTAGAGTGCCTACATTCCTCATCCAAGCACCCAGAGATTTGAGTCCCATCTCTGCCTTCAGTTCCAGCATACCCTGGGAGATAGCAGGTGATGGCTCAAGTAGTTGTGTACCTGCCATCCGTATGAGAGGCCCAGGTTCCTAGCTCTAGACTTCAGCCTGGCCCAACCCTGGCTGTAGAAAGCATCTGGGAAGTGAACCAGAAGATGCAAGATCTCTGCCTACCTCTGTCTCTGTTTTTCTGCCTTTGAAATAAAATGAAAATTAAAAAAACACTGCAAGCTCTCACTTAATAGGAGGAGGCTAACAAGTGGATCTGAAAGAAGTAGAGAATACAACAGTGATTACCAAAGCCTATTAAGGGTATGAGGCAAGAGGGAGGGAGAGAAGATGACTAATGGACACAGGGGCACAGCTGGATAAGAGGAATGACTTCTAATGTTCCACAGCACAGTGTACAAAAATGGTTGATAATAATTAAAATTGTGGGGCTGGCACTGTGGTGTAGTGGGTAAAGCCACTGCCTGCAGTGCCAGCATCCCATATGGATGTTGGTTCATGTCCTGGCTGCTCCACTGCCAATCCAGCTCTTTGCTATGGCCTGGAAAAGCAGTAGAATATGGCCCAAGTCCTTGGGCCCCCGCAACTATGTGGGAGACCTGGAAAAATCTCCTGGCTCCTGGCTTCGGATCAACACAGCCATTGCAGCCATATGGGGAGTGAACCAGTGATGGAAGACCTCTCTCTCTCTCTCTCTCTCTGCCTCTGCCTCTCTGTAAATCTGCCTTGGAAATAAATAAATAGATTTTAAAAAAAAATTAGTATTACAAAACAGCTAGTAGAAAGTATTTTTAATGTTTTCAAAATAAACACAAAAAAGATAAATATCTGAGATATAAGCCAATGACCCTGATGTAATCATTAAGTGTAATTCCGGAAGGTGATGAGCACACACTATGGTACTAGATCCCTTGTTCATATCATTGGGAAGAAGGTGCACGGCATCACAGCTGTAACTCTCCTGGATGTGGTTGGTTCCAGAAAGTATAGGGGATAGTAAGTATTAAACAGGCAATCACATAAACTGTACCCGTGGTGGCTATGGGAGATAAGAGACTTTGTACAATGGAAATTCCCAATTCTGGCTATCTCTCTTGACTGAGGCAAAATAAAGAATTAAAGAAAAAGCAAAATCTAATAGCCAAAAAAGAGCACTCACCAGAAAACCATTGACAAAGAGCAAACCAACAGGGCTGGCATTGTGCTGCAGCCAGTTAAGTTGCTGCTTGGACGCTGGCATCCCAGTGACCGTTCAAGTAGCGACTGCTCCACTCCCAACCCAGCTCCCTGCCCACATGCCCGGAAAAGCAGCAGAGGATAGACCAAGTACTTGGGCCCCTGTCATCCACGTAGACGACCTGGATAGAGTTCCAAGCTCCGGGCTTCAGCCTGGCCCAGCCCCAGCTGTTGCAGCCATTTGAGGAGTGAACCAGCAGATGAAAAGTTCTCTTTCTCTCTTTCTCTGTTAGTCTATACTTCATGATTAGTATAATTTCACATTAATACAATGTAATTATGTAATCAACTCTAACTTGGAATTTACAAGATTATATAATAAAATTTTATTAACTATACAATGATGAATAAATCAGTGTAATCAATAACTCACCTCTGATTCATGTTTTATTTTTTCTTCTTCTAAAACACGTGCAAACTCTTCTTTCTGGTGTTCAAATTCTGATTTCAGAAATGTATGTTCATAGCGAAGTTTATTATATTCTGCTCTGTATTTTTCTACTTCCTAAATTAAAAGGAGATGGCAATTTATGAAAAATTTATAAATTAAATTTGTACTCACTTCAAAACTCCCTTTTGCAAACAACTTTAAATTAAAGTATACTGAGTCATTCTAAAAGTAAAAAAAAATAATTTAACAGAAACACAAATGAACCTCAGAAAAGTCCTCATAAGTATCCCAACTATAGAGATAGTACACTCCAGAGGATATACCAATAAAACAAACTATCATCCAATTAATATTTCTTCACTGATCTCATTATAACTGAAAAAATGCACAATGTGACAAAATTTTTTACCTCTAGATTTAAGAAAATATTTAAAAATGGAACACATCTTTCAGAATACAGCTAGATTTTTAAAAGTGTAATACAGCATAAGACATCCTCTTACAGTCAGACAAAGGGTGAGCATTTAGCATAGCAGTTAAGACACCATGGGACACCCACAACCCCACATCAGAATGGATCGCTCTACTTTCAATTTCAGCTTCTGGCTCATGTGCACCCTGGGAGGCAGCAAGTGATGATGGCTCAAGTTCTTTGTGTCTCTGGCACTCAAGCAGAAAACCCAGATTGAGCACCAGGTTCTGGCTTCAGCCTGGCCCAGCATTGCTGTTGCAGACATTTCAGGAGAAAACCAATAAATGCAAGATCATCCTCTCTTTCTGTCCCTCTGCTTTCCAAATAATTGAAAAAAGAAAAATGTGTACTTTAAAAATAAAAAAAAAAGAAGTTAAATAAAATGAATTCAAAGTAGATAAAAGATCATTTGAATACTACAGTCATTTAAGGTTCAATCAAGTATTACAATGATAATTCAACTCAATGTATCAGCCTCAAGAATATCTAGTTTCATCTTTCCCAACTAACTGGGAACACATAAAATTCCCTGAGGTGCTCTCATACTGCCTCCTTACACTCTACAAAAGACACTGCCTTTCTGAATATTCAACAGGAACAAACAATAGGGCAAAAGGTTGCAGGAGACTTCGACTGCATCAGGAAATCAGGTAATGAGGAAAGCGTTTCTCCTGAAACACTCAGTTCACAGTCACTCTTTAGCTAAAGAGATCTCTAAGACAAGAAAACGGGCTTCAGAGTTTCATTAAAGATACACTTTGCTTTGACGGATAAAAAAATTTTTAAATCTAAGTACAGCTTTTTCATAATATGTGCTTCCCATCAACTTTTGGAAGATTATTAAGCCCAGTGCTGTGGCACAGTGAGTTAAAGCCAAGGCCTGCAGTGCCAGCATCCCATAAGGGCATGGGTTCAAATCTCAGTTGCTCCACTTTCGATCAAGCTCCCTGCTAATGTGCCTTAGAAAGCAGTGGAGGATGGTCCAAGTGCTTGGCCCCTGCACCCAAGCAGGAGACCTCAAAGAAGCTCCTGACTCCTGGTTTCAGCCTGGCCCGGCCCGGGTCATTGTGGCCATTTGGGGAGTGAACCAGCAGACGGAAGCACTCTCTCTCTCTCTGTCTCTCTCTCGATCTCTCTCTCCCCTACCCCGTAACTCTGCCTTTCAAATAAATACATAAATCATAAAAAACCTCCTCATATGCATGGAATTCAATTTATTTTTCCATTTTCCATAAACTTTTTAAAGTACCCCTGTATAGCATACTAAAAATGGTATGTACTGGAGAGAAAATAAGAAACAGAGCAGGATAAGGAGAACCAATGGTTTAAGCAGGGATAGGAAAAACAGGTTACAAAATTAAATAGGGAAATGGATGGCAGTCAATGTAGGCCTCATTGAGAAAGTAACATTTTCACAGAAATTGACAAGAGATGAAGAAGTTAGTCAAGAAATATCAAGAGGGAGAACAGCTAAGGCACATGTCACTCCACAGCAAAGACTAGAATGGTACCACTTGTGAAGTGCCAAAGAAGCACGAGGCGCCAGTGGGAACGGAGGAAGGAGGGGCCAGAGGGGTACCAAAGGCCAACCCTGAGAAGCTTTCGAGGCCGCTATAAGGACGAATGACTGAGTCGAAAGGGGAGTTCTGTGAGGTTTTTGAGCCAAGGAATGTTGCTTTCCCTCAAGACTTCCATAGTTACTTAGGGATAAATGTATAGTTCTTCTACACGAGTTACTTACTTCATCCAGATTCCGAAAACGTTCTCTCATTGGCGTTTCTAATTCTTGTCGTATTTCAGCTCTTAACGATTCCAATTTTTGAGGTGTCAATACCTAACATGTAGAGAAATACAAACAGTTCTAAATATAAAATCCAAATTTTAAAACCAGGAATTCCCCAAATCTCAAAGCCTTTCTCCTCTACATGAAAATGGAGTTCAATTCACTGAAGTTTCCAAATGTAGTTATATTTACAGTAATCACTACATAACCAGAACCACCATTTGAAACAGTATGTTAAAGAATCTCAATTGCAGGGCTGGCATTGTGGGATCAAGCTGCCACCTGTGCCACCTGGGTGCTAGTTCATGTCCTGGCTGCTGGACTTCTGATCCAGCTCCCTCCCTGCTAATGCTCCTGGAAAAGCAATAGAACATGGCCCAAGTACTTGGGTCCCTCCACCCACATTGGAGACTTGGAAGAAGCTCCTGGCTTCAGCCTGGCCCTGCTCTGCTGTTGTAAAATTTGGGGAGTGAACCAGTGGACAGAAGATCTCTTGCTCTCTCTCCCTGTCTCTTTATAACTCTGCCTTTCAAATAAAAAAAAAAATCTTAAAAAAAAAAAAAAAACTCAATTCCAGGATCTCCAAGTTATCAAAAATTCTAACATGAAGTAAAGACACTCATTTATTATTATTATTATTATATTACTTTCATTAAGAATACTTGAGGGGCCAGCACTGTGGCACAGTGGGTTAAGCCACAGCCTGCAGTGCCAGCATCCCATATGGGCACTGGTTTGAGTCCCAGCTGCTCCACTTCTGATCTAGTTCTCTGCTATGGCCTGGGAAAGCAGAAGATAGCCCAAGTCCTTGACCCCTGTACCCGCCTAGAGACTTGGAAGAAGCTCCAGGCTCCTGGCTTTCGATCGGGCCAGCTCTAGCCATTGTGGCCATTTGGGGAGTGAACCAGAGGACAGAAGACCTCTCTCTCTCTCTCTCTGTCTCTCTCTCTGCACCTCTGTAACTCTGCCCTTCAAATAAATAAATAAATATTTTAAAAAAGAATACTTGAAAAAAATAACTACTTGTTTTCTGGCAGCTAATTCTATTATGTTGGATACAAAGGCTGTTGGTCCAGTTATTTTCCAAAGCAAGCAAAACAAAGGTATAATAATATGTTGAATCAAAGAAAATTCTTCTGACTTATTTCTAATCAGAAAATGCTTTTACTTTGACCATCAAAACTAATTTAGGTTTCTGTTATATTCTTTAATAGAACTCATATTTCAATAAGTTAGTGAATATTTATATAAGCTCTAAAAGAACAGTCTTTTACATCATCATATTCCCAATACCTCCAACCAGTGCCTGGCATAAAGGAACCATTTAATTATTACTGAATGAATGAACAAATATTGGTTGTGAAAAACCTACACTTTGTATTTACATTAATCTCTATGAAAATGAGAATAATGTTCAGTTTAACTCATTTATTCATGAATATTCCATTTGATTACAAATATTTTATCTAATGAAAATCTATATATAAAGCATTGTACAATGTTTTAAAATTTACATATCTTATTGTTCTAAGTACCTTACATGAACTAAATTATTTAAATCCTACAATGTAGTTAGAATGAGGCATACAGAGGGTAGCACTGTGGTGTAATGGGCTAATCCACCACCTGCAACGCTGGTATCCTATATGGGTGTCAGTTCAAGTCCCAGCTGCTCTACTGATCGAGCTCCTGTTCATGTGCCTGGGAAAGCAGATGATGATTCAAGTCCTTGGGATGCTTTACCCATGTGGGCAACCTGGATGAGGCACCTGGCTCCTGGTTTCAGCCTGGTCCAGCCCCTGCCACTGCAGCAATTGGGGAGTGAACCATTAGATGAAAACGCTGTCGCACTGCCTGTTCCTCTCTCTCTCTCCCTCCCCCCCCCCCCCTTAACTCTGCCTTTCAAATAAATAATAAAAAATCTTTAGGGGCCAGCGCTGCAGCTCACTTGGCTAATCCTCTGCCTGCGGCACCGGCATCCTATATGGGTGCCGGGTTCTAGTCCCAGTTGCCCCTCTTCCAGGCCAGCTCTCTGCTGTGGCCTGGGAAGGCAGTGGAGGATGGCCCAAGTGCTTGGACCCTGAACCCACATGGGAGACCAGGAGGAAGCACCTGGCTCCTGGTTTCGGGCTGGTGCATCGCTGGCCGAAGCGGCCATTTGGGGAGTGAACCAACGGAAGGAAGACCTTTCTGTCTGTCTCTCTCTCTCTCTGTAACTCTACCTGTCAAAATAAAAAAAAAAATAAATAAATCTTTAAAAACATTTCAAACAAATGAGGCATACAGAGAAGCTAAATATTTTAAAGATCACAAAAGACTCAAATGAAGCATCTCTCCCTAAGAAGTTAAAACTGTGGTATAAAAATAACTCACACACACAAATAACTACACAAATAAGTAAACATAGGTTGAGCCACCTAGTAAAGACAAAGAAAAAAATATTTAGAATAGAAACTGTGACGAATGAAAGGAAGAAGAAAAATAAAACTCAGAACTCAAATCCAAAGAGCAGCTAAAATTATAATTTTCGTAGGGTGCAAAGACTGAACGGGAAAACACTGGTTCTCAAAGATGAGCTTAACATCATGCTAGACAATAATAAGCACTACATGAAAATTACAATTGGGAGATCTTGTGCATTAACGCTGTTAGAATCTTTAGATACTTTAACCATCAAGGTTTACAAATGCCACTTGGAAAGGCTGCACCCTAACTGGGAACATAAGGGAAAGAATCTAGGGACAAAAGTAGAAAACTCCCTTAAAAAAAAAAAAAAAGATTTTATTTATTTGAAAGTCAGGGTTACACAGAGAGAGAAGGAGCGGCAGAGAGAAAGAGGTCTTCCATCCACTGGTTCACTCTCCAATTGGCCGCAACACCCAGAGCTGTGCCAATCCAAAGCCAGGAGCTTCTTCTGGGTCTTCCACATGGGTGCAAGGGCCCAAGGACTTGGGTCATCTTCTACTGCTTTCCCAGGCCACAGCAGAGAGCCAGATTTGAAGTGGAACAGCAGAGATTCAAATCAGTGCCCACATGGGATGCTGGCACTTAAGGTGGCAGCTTAACCTGCTACACCACAGCACCAGCCCCATAGAAGACTCTTAATACCAATTGCTGACTCTTAAATTTATTCAGTATTCACTAGTATATACCTTAAAAATTATTTTACTTAATCTGAATATATATATAATTACATAAATAAAATACAAAAACCCAAAAAAGATTTACTTGAAATGCAGAGTTAAAGGGGTTGGGGGGGAACAAAGATCTTTCATCCTCTGGTTCACTCCCCAAATGACTGTAATGGCTGGGACCTGGTCAGGCCAAAGCCAGGGGCCTGAAACTCTGCCCAGGTCTCCCATATGGGTGGCAGGGGTTCAAGTACTGGAGCCATCGTCCACATCCTCAGGCACACTAACAAGTCGCTGGATTGAAGTAGAACAGCTGAGACTGAAATGCAGGTGCTGGCATCGCAGGCAGTGCCTTAACCCACCACACCACAATGCTGGCCCCTAAATAAGCCAACTTAAAAATAAACAAAGAGGCAGGCATTTTGGCATAGTGGCTGAGATGCCCCCTAGAAATGCCCACATTCTGTATCACAGTGCCTGGGTTTGAATTCTGGCTCTGCTCTCACTTCCAGCTAATGCCCCCTTAGAAAGCAGTAGGTAATAGGTCAAGTAGTTGGGCCCCCACCATCCAAACAAAAGACTGAGTTCTCAGCTCTGAATACGGCCTGGTCCAGCCCAAGCTGTTCTGACATCTGGGAAGTGTACCAGTAGATGGGAGAACAACCAATAAATTGCTCTTTCAAATAAATGAGTAAATAGTAAGTTTTTAAATAAGCAAGCAAAATTATGGTAAGATAACCTGAAAGGCTAAGAGGGATGACCGCTCAGAGTTCACAAAGACGTGTGAATAATTCCCAATCTGAAGGGCGAGACTGAACAGCTTCATTTCACAGAAAAACAGCGTACTCAGAAGGGTCTTGCCTCCACAAGGAAAATAAGTGCACTCCACTAAGTGCTATTCTACTCCCAAAACCCAAACCTTAAAAGCAGGACACAGAAAGATGAAAAGTAATTTAACTGTGTCCCAGAACAAAGCTCAAAAATAATAAGTTCACAGAACATGTAGTTTATATGTAAGTTCATTTTGTTATAAAAATTTTTTGAAATGCATCCAGTTTTTTCATAAAACACATTCCATGAATTTGAGACTCTTTGTATGCATAATTTCAAAAATGTCTGTGTCAAAACAATCTTATGTTTTAAGTCCCTTTTCCAAAAAACTTTTCAAAGTATTCATACATTTATCAACATAAAAAATGTAGCACTCAACAGAATAAAATTCACAATATCTGGCACCCAATAAAAATTTGCCAGGCATGCAAACAATCAGGGATGTACTGACCATTCTAAATGGGGAGGAAAAAAAAATCAATGTTACTATAGACCAAGAAGTGACAGACAGAATTAGCAAAGACAGCAAAATAGTTATGGAACTGAGTTCTACATATTAATAAAGACTGAACATGTGAAGTAGAATTAAGGAAGTTATTAAAAAGGCCAAAACTGACCTAGAGATGAAAACCATTTGAGGTTTAAAAAATCACTATATAGATTAGATGCCACAGAAAAAAACATCAGTGAACTTAAAAACACAGCAACAGAATCTAAAATGAAATACAGAAACAAAAGGACTAAAACTAACAAATAGAATATCTATTAGTTAGCAGACCAATACCAATATTAAAGTATTTATGAAGTTCTCAGAGAGTTGAAAGAGGAGAAAAAGGTTTTAGAAATAACACCCAAAATTTTTTAAGATTTATTTATTTGAAAGGCAGAGATACACAGAGAAAGAAGGAACAAGAGAGAGCAAGATCTTCCATCTGCTGGTTCACTCCTCAAATGGCCACAAAACTGCCAGGGCAGGGCCAGGTTGAAGCCAGAAGCTTCTTCTGGGTCTCCCACATGGGTGGCAAGGGCCCAGGGATCTGGGTCTTCTTCTGCTGCCCTCTTAAGCACATTAGCAGGGAGCTGGATCGA